CAACAGTTGGGGTTTCGAAACTAGAATCCTTAACCCGAACTAGATGATAGAGATAACCCTTAGAGATCATCTTTCTGGCCTTAAGGTAAGAAATGAATCGACTCATAAGCGTTAAGCTACTACCCTTCCATTCTAGAATTGGTTCGTCTGGAAACTGAAAACGAACAATCCTAGTTCTACAATCAACTGAGGCATAACATGAATGTAATCAATCCATACCTAGAATGACATTGAAGTCTACCATTTCTAACTCTACAAGATCTGCTGAGGTGACTTTCTGAGAGACTGTGACAGGGCAATTTCTGTATACCCGTCTAGCTATAATTGAGTCACTGACTGGAGTAGACACTGAGAAGGGTTCTGAAAGAGTTTTTGGACTGACATCTAAGATTACTGCTATATAGGGAGTCATAAAAGATAAAGTGCTCCTGAATCTTTCCACTGAGTGTACCATATGTGAGCCACATCCTTAGGCTGGTAGGATGCCAACTCAACCCTACCATTATCAGTCACTTGCATCACTCCAAAGATTTTCTAAACCTCATCAATGAAGTTTTGTGGGTCTTCACCAACTTGTGACACTAAAACTCAGGCGGATTCATCCTTAACAAAATCTCAAACTCTAGCTGCCACTGATCCACCATTTCTATTAGTAGGAACTGGAACCTGCTGATTGTTCTTGTTGGTCATACTCTGAACCAATAGTTGGATCGCATTCTGAAACTCTTCATTCTTAACCTCATGGTCTGGGACTAGAGGAAATGCGTTAGCATTCCTGGCATTCGCATTCCTGGCGTTAGTTCTACGGGGAGGCATGATCTTAAGCGCATAACGATGGATTAGAAATGAGATCATACCAACGCACGATAGAATATCAAGAAAGTGAAGTTTTCCTAAAACACTTCATAGCCTCCCTCTCATTAGATGTGGTGCACTTCACACCCATGAAAAGGACTCTACTTAGTGCGGCTTTTCAGACATCCTAGGACACTTAAACCTAATGCTCTGATACCAAGTTTGTCACGCCCCGAGCTACCCCCGAGACGCGAACACGGGACATAGGACCACAAGTGATCCCAAGCTAACCCTGCTGGCATGATCATGAGCATACTAAAGAAAATAAACTGATGCAGAAGCTAATTCATAATAAAATCTGAAAGGATGGGGAATACCCATATACTATAACTGAATATATCAAATTTGAGAGTTTAGTACAAAAGAAATATCAAACTCAAAAAACTAAGCTGAATCTAACTATGTCTGAAATAAGCCTCTAAACTGACTAGAAATGTTGGGACATGCCCCAACTAGATCTAGGAAAACTGAAACTAAAGACTAAAAATACTATAAAGAAACTCATGACTATTATCCTCGGAGAATGAGGACTCACCACTGATTCTGCTGAACTGGAGATCAGGAACCGATCTAAGCGTGATCTGGATGCTGAGAACCTGAACCTACATCACGAGAAGATGTAGCGCACGTATGCGTCAGTACTTGAAAGGTACTGAGCATGCAAGATGGAGTAAAGCTGAAATAACATATAACTGAACAAAGCAATAAAGCAATGAAATAATCTGGACATGATATAGATACTGAAAATACTGAATACTGAGCTAACTGATGCAATGACCAAATTTATAATATGCTGAGACTGAATACTTACTGTATTGAAATATGGTCAATGCAATAGAGTTTGACTGAACTGTGGGAGCTACTAATAACCGACATAAAACCACATGAGCTAAATGTGGAGTCCGATGTATACGCCCCATCGAGAGGACCTAATATACCCTGCCAGAGGTATAGAGGCATGCTAGCGTGATCACTAAACTGATGTTGCCCACAGAGGGGACTTACACCTACGTGGCTCGTAGTTCTGGGACTATATGGGTACGCTGAAACCCTAGTCCAACTCGGTATTATGCTACTCCTAATGAATTAAGTGGTTAACTAGTTATGACTGAATTTCTGTAAATACTGGATAGCTCGAAACTGAACATGCAAACTGAGAATGCAACAATTAATCTGATAATGATGCATTCATAAACTGAGGCATGTATAACTGAATATATTATGACTGAAATACTGAATAGCTTAAAATACTGACATGTAGATACTCATACTTGAAAACTCCATTTTAGAAAACAATACTCTGATCATTGATGACTTGGGAAGTCATACTGCATAAACATTGATGGTATATCTAGATACCATACTATTCATACATTGATGACCTACTCAATTGTCATACTAATCATGTTTTAGAAGCTCTTTCTCAAACTCATCTTAACTTTCTCAAAAACTCAGTTTAAAACTCAAGTGTTGTCTTAAAGAAAAGCTTCTCAAGATTTATAACTCAAAATAGGGTGTATACTGAAATATACTGATAATGTGGCATAAAACTGGAGCATGTATATCTGAATAACTGAAATATCTGACCTAGCATGTGTAATTCAAGAACTAATGAAATACATAGCTAGGGTTCTAAAATTTATGCGATAAACTGAGCATTAACATGATAATCTGATTTGGAACATTTAAATAACTAATTCATGATGATCTGTTGAGATTCTAGAAACCCTAGGTCTGTTCATAATCATGGAATCAAGAATCTGGCTGAATTCTAGGGACCTAATGGGCGAAAGGAACCCACTAGTGAAATCCCACATACCTGGTGACGAATTCCATGGAGAAATCTTTCGATTTCGGGGCTGGAACGGAAGGAACCTTGCTGCATTCTTGAACTAGGGTTCTGGACTTCTTTTCTCCTTTTAGCGTTCTAATTCTTCTAAGTTTGATTAATGATTTGACTTAGGTAAGTTCTAGTTATGTTTCTAGGTTTAAACTGATTAAAATCTCATTATTTAGGATCTAAATGACGTATCTTAGGGGTTAAACGAAATAGGAAAAGACCAAAAGACCCTTAAATTAGCTGCTGTCGGAGTGACTGACGGACCTGACTGACGGTCCGTCGATTGGGTCCGTAGGTCGAGTCTGCCCAACAGGGCTTCACTAAAATGCGCATAACGTTTTACTCGGAGGTCGGAATTTAGCAAACTCAGTGGCGTTGGAAAGATAATTCAATTATCTATCTAAACATAGGTCATGGGACACATAATTCATTTTGTGCTAAAATATATGACCATCTGAAGTTGACCCATCAGAATTTTCAGCTAACTGGCTGCTAACCTTCGATCTACGGTCAGACCTACGGACCGTGGATCGAACGACGGTCCGTGCTGGTCAACCGTAGTTCGTGTCAGAGGCTAGGTAAAGGAGGTCTTGATCCACGGACCGTGGTCTGATCTACGGACCGTGGGTCGAGACTTAGCCAATTTTTTTCTGAGCTGGCTGGGGAGGGGTTGCAGTGGCGAACCACGGACCAGCAGGACGGGCCGTGGTCTGACCTACGGTCAATGGATGGTGATCGTAAGTTGCACCTGCAACTTTTCAAAATCTGCATTTTTGTCTATTTTGAATACGGGGTGTTACAGTACAGCTGGTTCAAACAATTTTGTTTGGTGTACAATCATATTGGGCACAATTGTTTCTAATACCTAGCAAAGTAGTGAAACTTATTGAGGCTCATTATAGGAGCTATGTGTGGACAGGTACAAATCATATAAACAAAAAGGCTCTGGTTGCTTGGGAGAAAATATGTACTCCAAAATCTGCAGGTGGATTGAATATTACAAATTTGCATTTATGGAACAAAGCTGCAATTACTAAGACTTTCTGGGACCTTACTTACAAGTAGGACAAGATGTGGATTAGATGGATTCATAGTTTCTATATAAAATCAAAAGGTAAACCAAGCAAGAAAAAGAGAGAAGCAATTAAAAGAAGACAACAAAAAGAGGCTGAGATACAACATTCCAAAGTACAGGAAAGACAGATTCCTAGAAACAAGAACCAGCAGCAACAGGATGACAACTCAAACCACATCAGAACAGAGTTTATCTAGCACAAGTGACAACAAACTCACTCACAAAAATACAACAAAGTCACTCACAAAAAGGGACAACTTTAGCTACGAGAATCAGTTTAAGCAATGAAAACTAAAACCATCTCTCACAACAACCATCACAGTTCAAAGCAGTAAAACAACAGGGGATAAAAGTACACAACTACAACCCAAAATCAGTAGAGTCCTCCTTCAACACAATACAACACTCATACAACTAAAAATATAAAAAAAAAATTGGTATAGAAGCTTAAAGGAGACAATGAGTAACAAAAATAAAGTAAACTTTCAAAGATTCAAGATAGTAAAATAAGTTCAGAATTTATTTACCAAGAACACCAGCTCAACTAGAAGAAAAACAATATGCAGACTATTAACAGAAAATGTGAAATACAAAATACCTTTTGAAGAACCGAATCATGAGCTGACCCTGAAGAATGTGGAAGATTTGTGCCTCTTACAGCTTGTGCACTACTTGCATCAATAGGTGAAGCAAGGTTAGATCCAACACACCCTGGTATATCTTGAAAATTCAATCCAGGGTTGTTTTGCAGCAATTGAGTGAATAAATGTCACATTTCTTCTCTCAATTCTTCCTTTAGAGAAGTGATTTCATTGGCATGCTTTTGTTTTAGATTGTTAATTTCCTCATCTTTATTCAAAGAACTTATTGTCACTGATCTACCATAGCACCTAAGTCGACCAGGCTGCTCCTTTCCAAACACTGCCCTAAATGCATCATCAGCTGTTTCCCCAGAATTTTGGCGATTTTAAAGTTCAGCCTGTTGAATAAAATTGGCATCCATAATGAATTGTAAGTACTATTTCATTTCCAGTCCTATGATAGCGATCAAGAACTAAAAAAATCTGACAATTTTTCCTAGCAAACAATTCAGCGACATCGACAAAGAGAAGAAGAAGAAGACATACGTGATAAAATTCAATGGAAAACTCCCCACAATATATAAATTTTAAGTCTAAATCAAATTCACTACTAATCCTCTTTAAAAAACTTACTATTGCAACTTGGGTATCAGCCTGGATTTCCTTTCCCGTCTTGGTACGAGTTGCAATAAACATTTCAGGCTTTGATGGTTCTTCGTTGTTGTCTTTGGCTGCACGCTACAGATTATATAAATAAAAAATAAAAAAAACATCAGTATGCTCTAATAAAGTACAAAAAACTGAAATTCAGATTATTGAAGAAATGTCAGCTAAGTATTACCAATGCCACGCGTACTCTTGCAAAATTAATAGGTCCCATTCGATGCCTCCACTTTTGTTTTTTCCTGTTTTGAGAATTCATCTCGCATATGTCCTATTATTAAATAAAAAGAGATAATTGAATTGATAAATAAAAAAAGAATAGATATGATGCAAAATATGTCGATGAGTAGAAATGCACTATTTTAGCCTTACTTGAACAGTTGGGTGTTTCCAATACTCGATCAACTGGCGGAATTGATTATCTGGAATGCCATCAGGATGTTTTTCTAGCATATCCTCAAGGGTACTGTTTTTATCAAAAAATTTCTCTTTAATTTTTGCTTGTGTCGCCTCCAAGCATCACGAAGACCAGTCATCACCCACTTCTTTCCTTCTACTGGAATTAGAAATTTGGACTATGCAAAATAAAATATATTTAGCTTCAGTATGTAAAAACAAATAATAAAATATGCAATCTCAAGAGTGATTGTTCTTACATTGATATATTCCCACATGCGCTTTTTAGTATCCTTTGGCACCGTATGCCAACTAGTGTACATCAAGCTGATGAATCTAGGATTCCTTGCAATTGTTCCTATAAAGTTGCTTAATTGTGACACTATCTTATTAGTTGGTCCCACTGCTTGTCCTTTATCAAATGCCACCTCATTTCTTTCTTCCAAGTTTCTTGCGTGAATATCCTTACATGTTGTTTGTCCTCGAACTTTTTTTGACTTCGATATTTCTAGATTGATGTAATTGACAAGAAATAAGATATTTCTTTTATAACGAGTACTAAATCTTACATGGTTTAAGACATACCTTTTGTACTACAATCAATGTTAATTTCCTCTTCGACATCACATTTATCTCCACCGAGTTCTTCTTGATCCACAAGATCATCCAATCCTTTGTTGTGTTCATTAATAATAGGATCATGAATATCATGTTCATTGTGTATCTGTTGCTTATCCAGAAACAGATCAATAGTGGTAGTTGGTCGGACCGACTTCCTCTTCACTTGTTTGAAGTTCAGTAGATCCTCATTATCATGTTGTACCTCTCCATTACCTAGTGTTGTTCCAGTCACATGTACTGAAGCAGTAACACCTTCCTTGAATGATGTTTGGAACCTAGAGTTATTCATAGGAAGTTTAATTCCTTTCTCTTGAATGGACTCTCCAGATTGAAATAACCTCTGTTTAGTTTGTCCTTTCCCTGCAATCATATGTGAGGTTCTAAGCTCTTCCATTAAAGACGATTGAATTACTGATTTGTGCCCAAGCAATTTACTATTTCCTTGTTGTGGAATGAAATCCTCAGAATTCTTTCTTTTATGTGGTATTGGTGCCTGCTCTTTCTTAGCTCTATCATTGCGTTCATTTGCAAGTTGTTCTCTCTTAATCTTGAATTTGTTGGCCAATTCAGCACTTGATCGGTACTGCATATCAACATCCAGATTCTTGAATGGACTTTGAGCTTTGTTTGGATTCGGACCCTTTTTCTTTAGTATTGCTGATTGATTCATTCTTCTCGCTTTGTTTTAATCTCTTTAATTTCTTTTCCTGTGGTAAGTAAACCTACAAAATAAAAAGGTTCTTTAAGTGAAAGAAGTAGCAGCAATATAATTTTGATATAAGGTTGACAGATGGATAGCTTATTAATTTGAAACTATGTCCTTCCTATGCCTTGTGCATCTGCAGAACCCACAAACCAACTATTTCCAGAATTTCCAACTCTATAGAAGTTATAGAAAAGCTCAACTCTTTCCAGAATTTCCAGCACTGTATTATAGCAGCTTGTAGCAGCTGAGTTTCCAGAATTTTCAGCACTGTATAATATTGTAGCAGCTGAGTTTCCAGAACTTCCAGCACTATATATACTGTAAACTAAGTCTATAAGTTGTACATACACAATATCCCCGGAGCCACAACTAAACTAATCTTATAACCTGTACAACCATTCAGAATACTTTACCTAGAGCCACAATTTTATATATAAATACTTTACCTTCTAACCAGCTATACCAAACATAAATTACTTAACCAAATCATATCAACTAAAGCATTGTGAAACAACCAAACAGGCTCATTTCTGTGCACAGTGTTCCACCATCTCATCACCATGTATTTAAGAGGAATATAATCCTTTTGGATACCCAGGGAAACAGCAAAGAACCCCAGACCTTTCTGGCAAAACTTCTAGAGTTGAAAATATGTTCAATAGTGTCAAGTTCAGGGGAATTACAGCAAAAACATTCTGCAGAGTCAACTACAAAACTGGACAGCTTCTCATTACTTAAATTACTTAAAGGTAAATAGTTGTACCTTTCTCGGAGCGACAAACTCAGGACTGCGACAAAACCAGAAACGACTTCAAACTGCAGAGCTCACTGTTCTGCCTCTAATGCCTACTGCCTGATAATAAAAGGAAACAAATAAGTATATAAATAACAAACAGCAAAATAAAACAATATTCAGCTAGAAGTACAGGTTCCTCATTTAATCTTTTTGATTTCTTTCCCTGTGGTAAGTAAACCTACAAAATAAAAGTTTCTTTAAGTGAAAGAAGTAGCAGCAATATAATTTTGATATAAGGTTGATAGATGGATAGCTTATTAATTTGAAACATTGTCCTTCCTATGTCTTGTGCATCTGCAGAACTCACAAACCAACTATTTCCAGAATTTCCAACTCTATAGAAGTTATAGAAAAGCTCAACTCTTTTCAGAATTTCCAGCACTATATTATAGCAGATTGCAGCAGCTGAGTTTCCAAAATTTCCAGCACTGTATAATATTGCAGCAGTTGAGTTTCCAGAACTTCCAGCACTATATATACTGTAAACTAAGTCTATAAGTTGTACATACACAATATCCCCGTAGCCACAACTAAACTAATCTTATAACCTATACAACCATTAAGAATACTTTACCTAGAGCCACAATTTTATATATAAATACTTTACCTTCTAACCAGCTATACCAAACATAAATTACTTAACCAAATCATATTAACTAAAGCATTATGAAACAACCAAATAGACTCCTTTATGTGCACAGTGTTCCACCATGTCATTACCATGTATTTAAGAGGAATATAATCCTTTTGGATACCCAGGGAAACAACAAAGAACCCCAGACCTTTCTGGCAAAACTTCCAGAGTTGAAAATATGTTCAATAGTGTCAAGTACAGGGGAATTACAGTAAAAACATTCTGCAGGGTCAACTCCAACTGGACATCTTCTCATTACTTAAATTACTTAAAGGTAAATAGTTGTACCTTTCTCAGAGCGACGAACTCGGGACTGTGACAAAACCAGAAACGACTTCAAATTGCAGAGCTCACTGTTCTGCCTCTAATGCCTACTGCCTAATAATAAAAAGACACAAATAAGTATATAAATAACAAACAACAAAATAAAACAATATTCAGCTAGAAGTACAGGTTCCTCATTTAATCTCTTTGATTTCTTTCCCTGTGGTAAGTAAACCTACAAAATAAAAGGTTCTTTAAGTGAAAGAAGTAGCAGCAATATAATTTTGATATAAGGTTGATAGATGGATAGCTTATTAATTTGAAACATTGTCCTTCCTATGTCTTGTGCATCTGCAGAACTCACAAACCAACTCTTTCCATAATTTCCAACTCTATAGAAGTTATAGAAAAGCTCAACTCTATTCAGAATTTCCAGCACTATATTATAGCAGATTGCAGCAGCTGAATTTCCAAAATTTCCAGCACTGTATAATATTGCAGCAGTTGAGTTTCCAGAACTTCCAGCACTATATATACTGTAAACGACTTCAAACTGCAGAGCTCACTGTTCTGCCTCTAATACCTACTAACTGATAATATAACGAAACAAATAAGTATATAAATAACAAACAACAAAATAAAACAATATTCAGCTAGAAGTACAGGTTCATCAATAAAATAATAATCAGAATACTTAAACATTGTAGCGATCTAATCTTCAATTCCACATATTACATATCTTAATGTGTTTGTACCAAGAAAATAATTAATTTACAAAAACAGTAAGTGAGCACTATATGGTCATCAAAAAAATAATGAAACTCATGGTGTGTCATCTTCAAACTCATCTTCAAACTCATCTTCATACTCATTTTCAGACTCATCTTCATACTCATTTTCAGACTCGTCTTCAAACTCATCTACAGATTCATCTTCAAACTCCTCTTCATACTCGACTTCAAGTTGTTGAGTAACAAATTCCTCCGAAGGCACATCAATAATTGTTTCTGGTACAGCAGTCCTTGTTAAGAGTATTTCACCATTATCTTTTGGTATAGATGGTCCCATCAAATGTTCAGAAGGCTCGTTTTCATAACTTTGTGGGAGATTAGATTCAACTTCATCACCCGTGTTAAACAAGTCTCTTGGAACAGTCTTCATAACATAATGTCTATCTTGATCATATGGATCTTGCACATAGAAGCATTGGTGTACATGAGATCCAAGCACAAAAGGCTCTTCCTGAGAGCATCTCTTGTTAAAATAGACATAACTAAGGCCATAAGCATCATTTTCAACCTCATACCAATCACACTTAAATAGAACAACATTAAAATGACCGTAATAGTCTAATTCAACAATATCAACTATTCTACCATAATAAGTCAAATCTGCAGCAATCAGATTTTTATCCTTTGAGCTTGCAAAGCTTGTAGTTGAGGCAACTAGTGTAACACCACTATTTTGTGTTTTACGCCTTGCATCACGCTGCCTAACATGGAATCTATATCCATTGATGAGATACCCAAAATATCTTTTTGCAACGGAATTTGGTCCTCTAGACAATTATTTTATCAAATCAGGCACATCCTCTTGCAAAGCACGAGTTTCAAACCATTGAGAGAAGTTTTGACAATGATTCTTGGCCTTGTTCCATTTAGATCTTCGTGGCTGATTATTAACCTCTTGCTCATGCTCTCTACACAACATGTACTTTTTTTTGTTAAAATAATAAATAAAATAAGTTAAAATGAATTATACAAAAAGAATACTATATTCAAATTAAGGTACCTAATATATTCTTGAACCTCGTCACAATTTCCCAATAAGTATATATGTGCCTGACTTAGTGACTTGTTATCTAAAATGAATGGATCAGTTTTATTTGCTCCTAAAGGAACTCCTTTGTTAGGAAACAAACTCACAGTTTCTGCATCACTTGGGTCACATTCATCATTATTTCGGGCTCTTCTGTTAAATCTAGTATAAACACCCCTATGCAGATATTTACAGAATAAATTC